GTTTCTTTTCTCAGTCCCCCATTCTGGTGTGCATCTTTTATGTTGTTCCTTACTTCTTTTTTTGTCTTTGATTCCTTGTATAAATATTTTTTGTTTGTTACTACAGTACATGTGGAATCATCAACAGGGAGAATGGAGAAGGGATTGACATATTTGAAGCAAAGTCCTTCTTTTCTGTATCTGGCTTTGTCTATCTCCATGGGCTGCCCAGCACCCAAATAGACAGTTCCGGTTCCATCTTTGGTTCCAGAATAAGCTTTCTTTCCTCCTCTGTCTTCCTTCCTCGCTCCGGTCCTCTCTGTCTGACTGAAGTACGCTTTCTTCTCTTTTTCTTGTTCTCTCCATATTTGATCATAGTTTAGAAGGAGTTTCCTCCATTCTTTGTATCTGTTAGGTGGTAGCCCACTGACGTAGAGCTTGTCCACAAGTGTATAGTTCATGTTTTTCTTTAACAGGGTGATCAAAATAGAGTCATCCCTATATCCTGCTTTCCTTCGCAGGCTGTCAAATTCTAGGAAGAAGTCTCTTGCGGTCTTACTACCTTGTTTCAGTTGTAAGATCCAGTTTTGTGCTTCTTCTTCTTTGTAGTTATTTTTGAAAGCTTTGGTTAGCCTTCTTTCAAAGATTGCCCATCTTTGGTATTGTGCCCATTCCAGTGCTGAGGTAACGGACATTTTATCTTCTAGCCACTCGCTTCTAAAGCTTGCAGCCGTTCCTTCTTTCATATATGATAGCACAGAAGCTATTTTCTTCTTTTCATCTCCAAAGTATTCTGGGCCTTCTTCAAAGTGTAGTGATATGTGTTCTATGAAGCTTTTAAACTTTGCCCGATCACCGTTGAAGGTGGGCGGGTTATCAAGTGTGCTTCTTATCCTTCCGCAATCTCTCTTCTCTATTCCTCCGTTGTTTTTTTGTATCTCAGAGTTGGTAGCAATCTGTTGCTCCCACAATCCCCTGTATTCTGCCACCTTCTCCTCTGCTCTTTTTGCTGCTTGATGGGCCTTCATTTGCCCTTCTCTTTCTCTTTCAGTTGCTTCCATCACTCTCCTGGCAACTTCCACTTCCATCATTCTTTTCATCCATTCTTGGATCTCTGGAGTTAGATCGGCCGGTATTGTTGGTTGAGTTTGGCTGGGTCCAGCTTCCAGCAATGCCCCAATTAGGTCGGCCATGCTGTCTGTCATGCTGCTTATTGATGGTTCTTTTTGCCAAAATCACATGAATTCAACGGATCTTTGGTAAGACAGGTTTGGCTGATTCTTGTTTGATTTGGGGGGTGGGAGAGCGTAGCGAGATTGATTTTATTGATTCTATTTCTGGTGCTTCAAATTCACAGCACCACAGGAATGTGTGTGTATAGCCTTGTTCTATAGCTATCCAATGTTCTAGATTGTCTCTGCGCATACACAGGAGTTCACTGATGACAAATCAGATCAATACACCTCTGTGAAGGTCATAGATATTGTCTCTCTTTTGATAATTGGGCCCTCTTCTGTCCCAAACTATTGTGTACGTAGGGTGATATAAAATGTGTTATGGAATGTAGGTAAAGTGTATGGTAATAATTTGGGGTCCAAATGGTTGTCCCAAAGTGATCCGCTTATTAAGCTGTCAATCCCTCTCCGACTGGCGGACGCAAGTGCACGGCCTGGTCAGAGGTACTCAAAGGTGAAACTAGGTAAACGGTCCTAACTAAACTTCACTTGGTTCCACACCGGGTAAAGTTGTAACTAATGGGATGGGAGTGAGGGGAATTTCCTCAAGAGAATCTGTGTCTCTGGGGAAGAAGGATATGATGATTGATGGACATAGAGGAATGGGAAGTGAAGTAGTAGGAGTTGTGTTGATAGATGTTATGGTTATGTAGACGAGGTAGATGACAATGAATAGGATTGGGAGTGCAAAGGTTAGGATGATGGTTATGATTGTGACTGCTGTTAATATCATAGACAGTGCTTGACTATAGCTGTTGATTGTGTGAAGATCTGACTCTTTTACCGGACAAATGGAGAGTCAGAAGTTCTAATCGCAAGCAAGAGTCTATCACAGTGAATAAAGATGTAATCAACAGCTAGAGAATATGTACAAGAGGTAGCTAGTATATATACTACAGAACATGTGTTAATAATGAGGTGCTTTGTAATTGTGTTTGTAAGTAGCTATGTCATAGGTTATGTGATTGATCACGTGACTATGATTAGATAAGGCTTGGAGATATAATAGATATGATGGATCCATTATCAACTGAGATAGGGATATTAGAAGTAAGGGATTGTGATAACTAGGCCCTTCCGTGAACCTTGGTCTCTAACTTGTTGGAGTAAACAGGTGAGAGTAGAGGATGAAAGGTGGAGTGGAGTAAAGGTCCTTCAGAGAAAGACTGGAAAACTTAGAAGGAGACTTGAATCAAGGTGGGAGGAACTAGTTGATATTCAAACTGCAGGAACAGAGTACAGGAGCTATGACTTATATACTATTGGAGGGATGGGAGTTCATTGTAAGGATCATTTACGTTTTCTTATCTTTTTGTTCCATGTCTTGGTTCTCAGACACTTTCCCCATTACACCTAGGGCTAGAGGTATTGTTTGCCATCTTGCTTCTCATAGCCCTAACAGGCTTTCTTAACCATTGTTACTACTTCATATCGCAGATCAGAGACTGGGTAGTACTCCCAGCCAGCCAGCACAATGGGTAAGGACTAGTAGCTAAGACCTCGCTAACCAGCTCCAAGTCCCATCAGTGCCTGGATATATTAATAGACACTTTAGTCAGGATTGTGTAACAACCAAGAGTTAGTTACTCTGGCACACACAAGAACACACTATAAGGGTAGTGAATGGGGAGTGGTTACCCCTTAGGCTGCAGAGAGTTTGTTGGTTAACAACAGGAGGACTCGCTGAGGAGTCTCCTTGATCTATTGGAGTAATTATACTAATACAGAGTGTTTGTGCCTATGTACTGTACAGTTGATAAAAGCAGTGGCTGATGATGTCAGAGGGTGCAGCCTGTGTGACCAGCTCCACTGCGTGAGAGAGTTTGTGTCTAAAAGAAGAATAAAGGCAGTGCTGTGCGAGAAGGTGGAGTTAGAACAAAAAAAAGGAAAGTGCCGCATGGCATGGAGTGTGAACTATAGTAAAAAGGTTAAAGCGGAGAATGAAAATTAAAGGAAAGGTCCGAAAATTGTGTTATTGTAACAGAAGCGGTTGTTTAATTTCATATATCAGGTTTCTTCTATGTACATGTCTATGTTAAATATGCAATATGCCTTATGCTTCATTATGATGACAAGTACAAGGAGTATTACATTGTACGGAAGATAAATCGACGTGTTTGGAGATACTAGGAGCCCGTTCAGTTGTGTTGCCAGGAAATTGCCGACGTTTAGTCGGAGCTCAAGTCGCGGACATTGATTGGACTTAGGAGATTATCGATGTCAAGACCTCCTGAGGTATAGCTGAGATATTGATGTACCCTGGTAATACACATGGCCTGTTACACCTCCTCTTATTCCACCAACAGGAAGCCGGAATTGCGCGCACAAATGTCCTAAGCGGTGTCGGGACTGCAGCGCTTGCATATGGGCAATAATATCTCAACAAGGAGCCCTACCATACTTCTCAACTTCGCGGTAAAGACTGGGTCAAAGAACTTATGAACGGTCACCCTGAAAGGATCCGTTGTGAGCTTGGGATGAGCCTGGAGGTTTTCAATAAGCTGGTGGGGGTGTTGGAAAAGGCCAGCTATTCTTCGTCAAAGCATATCAGTTTAGAAGAGAAGCTATCTATTTTTTTGTATGCTAGTGTTACAGGCCTCACAACAAGGCACCTTGGAGAGCACTTTCAGCATGCAAATGATACTATTGCAAGGTACATTTCTCATTGCATCTTATTGTACATATAAACTAACCACAATTACAGGTACTTTAAGGAAATTCTTGTTGCTCTCTCCTCAGCCCCCATCTACCCAACATATGTCCGCCTTCCAACAGAAGATGATGCTACGCCACCCAAAATCCTCTCCAACCCAAAATTCTACCCCTTTTTTTCCAACGCTATCGGTGCAATTGATGGTACTCATATTGCGTGCTACGCGCCATCAGCGGAACGCGAAAACACGCGCAATCAAAAGGGCAATGTCTCGCAAAATTGCCTAGCATGCTGCTCTTTTGATCTGCGTTTCTTATATGTCCTCACAGGCTGGGAGGGCTCTGCACATGATGTCACACTGTTCAATGATGCACGCAAGCACAACTTACACATTCTAGAGGGGAAGTATTATCTGGCTGATGCCGGATTCAGGTCTTGCAACCAGTTGCTTGTTCCTTACTGTGGAGTTTGGTACCATCTAGCAGAGTGGGGCAGAGTGGGCCAAAGGTAAGCTCTTGAATTTGATTTATTACAGTTTCTGATTATTTTACAGGCCTCAAAACCCCAAGAAACTATTTAATCTGCGTCACACACAAGCCTGCAACTGTGTCGAGTGAATCTTTGGTGTCCTCAAGCGACGGTTTTGCATTCTTTCAAGTTCCCCCAAATACAGCCTGGATGTGCAAGCTCGCATCCCCGCAGCTCTCTGCATGGTCCACAACTTTATCCGGACCCACGATGCGGAGGAAATTGAGGACCTGCTTGCTGACAACAACTCTTCATTAGATATCTGTACCCGTGGTACACTTGCTACCGCTTCTCTCAATGAATCAGACCGACAACAAGGGCACGCTAAATGTGAGGTGATATAGTGAAGAATATGTGGGATAGCTATCAGCGCAAGTTAAGAATGAGGGGGGAACTACATACCTTGGATGTTAGCATAGAGAACGGCATGGATGTATAATCGTTTTGAGGCTCAGTAAACATTTTTTTTGTTCACTTTTTTGATCACACAAGTGGGAGCTAATGAAATACAACACACTACATTTCACAGAACAAAAAACAAGCGACAAGATATACATGGCAGATATGAACGTTAAGAGGCAACTACAGATGAATTTATTCCATTGTTAACTTGACTGCAGGATACCCTTCCTCCTGAAGACGCTTCATCACCCAAAAACAACGGAATGACTCGTACTCTGGGCCCTCCTCAAGGTCCATATATCCTTCAACAATGTCTGGCTTCAGACGCAACAGATCAAGGAACGCTACCAGGCGCTTATCATCAAGCCATCGCTCAAGGTGCTGAGCACGCTTTGTTGCGAGGCTTCGTGCATTCTTTTGGATAGATGGGTGGTCGTTGTCATTTGTATGGACATGAGTGCTGGGGGTGGGAGCAGCGGGGGCATCGGGAGTGATGGACGTGTTTGAGGCCATTTTCTTGACGATCGAGATGAATTGCATCCCCTGGGACTCCTGGATGTTGTTGCTACGTTGCATTTGCTCCTTGAGGCCATTGAGAGCAGCTGCACCAGATAGGCGAGCAGACTTTGAACGAGATGTGCCGGTAACTACCGACTCTGTCACTGCAGAACCTTCTACTGATGCAATCTTTCTCTTCTCACCAGATTTATTTGAAGCTGAGCTAATGGGAGGGCGGACTGTGCTGGATTTAACAGATGGACTGGATTTTTGAGTAGGGACAAGGGTAAACTCGTTACTACAAGTAGTCGCTGGTGAGTCCTTGCCGCCGGCCTGATCAATATCCATTGAGTTGGCAACTTCCTCATCGCTGTCTCCTTCCATCACACCATTATTGTCCTCATCGCTAACTAGGCCTCCTTCAACGCTACCCCCTTGAAGATTTTGAGAAGCCCTGAAGGCATGCACACCTGTTGCATGCTCTGGCATCATTTCCTGCATCAAGTCAAAGTATGCCCATCCACTATTTTTAAACTGGTTGATGTCCTTCTTTGGGTTTCCCTAGGGCAAAAGACAACAGTTAGTGTGAATCAACAATTAAATAAAGGTAAAGACCTCGACAGTATCATTCCAAACAACCTGGGATGCCTCATTTACATCAACACCCTTCTTCTCACTGTAAGTGAATCCAGACGCTGATTTGAGGTATCCGACATTCTTGAAATCGGTTTTGAGCTGTTGTGATTGTGAGTAATGTCTCATAATACCATACTTATTCACTACTTTATGCCATTTATCCTTACATGCTCTTGCACTCTTTCGAGCGCCCTTTGTCGTGTGCTGCTCCATTTCCTTGGTTATCTATCATAGTCCAGAATTCGGGCTTGTAGCTCATCTTAGGGCCCCCTAGCTTCTTGTTGGCCTTTATGAGGTTCAGGAATTCAGTTGTGTCTTCAACGGGCCAAGCACATTTTTCTCTTTTCTCCTTTCCCCCCACAGCTACCGCCTTCTTACCTTTCCCAGTGCCACTAGTCAACATCTTCCTTCGAGTGCGAGTTTGAGTAAGAACAATGAGTCGGGCGGAGCGTCGAGCCATATTGCCTTAGGGTGTAAGTTTGGATGCCTCAAGGTGTATGGGAAGATGAGATATGGATCAATCCTATCTTGGACATCATCCCCTCACTCCTTATTGACGCACACCTACCCAGCGAGGAAAATGGCATTTCGGCAGCTTTTTTCGGCATCCCGGCGACTTGAGCTCCGACTAAACGTCGGCAATTTCCTGGCAATTTCCTGGCAAGCAATTTCCTGGCAACGCAACTGAACGGGCTCTAGTGGTCGAGGTCCTAGTCTCGGATAGAGAAAGTTGGAGCGACATATGAACCGCGACTGTCCGGCTTTCCATAAAAAGAAGCTTTCAGAAAATGCACATAGAGTGTCAATGTTCTTGAAATCATTGCATTGATTGTAAAAGTGAACCAGAGGGATTTTCTCACAACATGGAAAAACCCCATCTGTAAGATCATGGGGCTCCTCAGAGTGCTACCTGAGGTGTTATAAACTCTTGAAATCTGTCTCTTCGCAATACAATGGATCAATCCCTGATAGTGGAGAAGCTCCTGGTTAAAGAGGAAATTGACGAGGCTGTGACGGAATTGAAGCAGTTAAAGACTCAGCTTGTTTTGTTGGGAAAAGTTTGGTAGAACGGTGATATAATCTTATCATTAGCGCTTGTGAGAATGGCTCACGATATCAGTCCAATGGTAGAACATACTTTGTGAGTACATCTGTAGGCTACGGGAGCATGTCATACTTGTGATAATGTTTGTACTGCAATCAAAGAATTGATAGGTCGGTCGCTATCCTGAGAAAAAGCTGCAACGACTCGACTTCTGTTGATTGTTCAGTAGATACCAGGAATCATCCGGAACCTTACTCTGCTCGCCCACTCTTCCCACTCTTCCCCAAACTTCTCCTTCATGATCTGATCCTCCTGTGAGCACCGCGAAGGCAAGGAAATGTTTAACATGGTCAACAGACCAACCCAAGACACGGCCGCACTTTTCACCAGTATGCTATCTGCCACACCCGAGTCTCTTAACCACGACCTCGGATGACCATACGCAATGACCACGCCAAGCAGAGCCAATATAGCAGCTGAGTAACTCGGATGACGCACAATGGAATAGGGTCCGCTTTTAACTAGCTGATGGTCCTTGCGGATACTGAGCCGGTAGGTGAAGAATCGACCAAGAGTACGATAACATTGCCAGCGTAGGAGACCGGCGAGGGACATAAGAGTTGTCCCAATAATGAATGGATAACTTATGGGGCGGGTATCTGGGCCGCCAAGGGCGTCTAGCAGACCACGAACACCAACTGGGAGTTTGGAAAGGAAGATGCGAGGCAACACGATTGCAGCAGTTTCCCCAAGTGCGCATAACCAGAAGCACCCCTTCGAGAGTCTATAAGTATAGAGCTGCATCATACTGGAAAGCACACACCTTGTATGCTGTAGTAGTGGCAATAAAACTTCTGAAGAGAAGCTCCCTGGGGGAAAGACTGACTAGCTCATCTGAAGGAGGAGTACTCGTCGGTGCAGTGCAAGCGGCGTGTATCCCAATAGCTGAGGACAGAAGAAATGGTACTTTGATGAGTGACATAGCTCAAAAAGTCTTGCGTTCTGTTTAAATCACCTTGATATAAAGCAAACGGAATCGAAGCTCAAATTTAATAGGCCCGGACGGCCTGAAACCAGTTTATGAATAGTATGACGGCAGAGAGCGTGCTGCATGGAAAAGTGACCATAGCCTTCTGATCGCCGCACCAGATGGTGTAGGAGAAACACAATAGCCGTTAATAGCCCGCCGGGATATTATCTTCAACAAGTCAAACAACGATCGGTGACTTACAATAATAAACTTGTGTACAAGGCCGTCCTATCCGATCTGAGCTGCCAATCAGTGGGCATTAGCATACGTCACATTTTACTGTTTTATATGTGCTGTATGGCCAAAGGTATTTACTTACAACACGTAACGCCTCCGATAGCCTCAGAACAAGTCATACCTATGTACTCCATGTCCGACTGCTGTAAAAACAAGATTAGTCAGTCAAACGAGCTCTTGTTTTTACGGACGCTGTAATGCAACACTAGCGTATTCCAAAAACCTTGCATGCGCCACATTTCAACTCTTCTTCCAGGCATCTTTGATTTCCTTGTGGGTTGCTAAAAACTCAAGATCGTGATTTCACTGTACTGAGTTATTCGCAATCTGTTGAAATTGGTATTCCTGGGCCAACGAAGATACCAGCACATACATTGTCAAGTTCAAAGCATTAAGAGTGAGACTCGTCAGACTGGGAAAATTTGTGCTTGATCCTGCTGGTAATCTCGGTCATTCCTTTCCCACTCCCAGTGACACCAACTGTAAAGTAAACACCCAATCAGCATAAGAAGATTGAGACGAAAGTGGATAAAGAGATGACATAGAAAACAAGCAGAATTTGCGTACCTTTCCCTAGTGGATTATCTGGTGTCTTGAAGATGCTCGTTCCTGCCACACCTGCTATATGCAATCCCTTCTTCTCCGACTTTTTCGCAAACTTCTGCCATGTAGCCTGTTTTTGCGTCTGCTCCTTGGCCTTTGCAGCCTTCGCCTCAACCTTCTTCTCGTTTTTCTTCTTCTTTCTCTCCCTCTCCTCCTCTTCCACCTTCGTCAACTTCCGCTTATTTGATGATGACGGTGGTAGTTTTTCTTGGTAATTCGGTGGGATAGGTTTGATCTCATGTCCTTTCAGAAGCTCCGTTGTGTTGTAACCCTTGAATACTATGCTGTATACTGGCTTTTCAGCCGAACCACCCACAGACGTTATTCGGGCAGGGTACCAGGACCCATCGCCTGAATATTTTGCAAGACATTCATTGCCTGCGGACAGAGCGTGCGTAGGAAGAGAAACTGCTGCTTTACGAGAATGTTCGGCGCGAGAAGAGCCCTCTGCTTGGGACAAGGCTTCTTTCGTGAGACGGATAAGCTCCTCGAGCTCAGAGCGCAGAGAGCTTAATTCAGTGTTGGTAGGATCTGTTCGAAGCGCTAGCTCGACTTGTGAGAGCTGGACCTGGTATGTTTCTAAATCCATTTTCTCCATGGCTGGCTATAGTGGTGCTATGATAGATAATAGCTGTGTGGTGGCCCCGGGCGCTCGAGAGACTCAGGCTGAGACGATGGACTGTTAGTGGCGTGGACTTGGACCTGCGCACCTATCACTTAGGTCAGCATTGCCGTAAGTAGACATGTTTTTGTTATCATTGAATTTGAAGGTACGGTGTATAACACTGATGGTCTGTTTGCCAGGCTGGCACCGTGAAACATAGCTCAATAGTCGCCCATAATCGTTGCATGTAGATTACCAGAAGACCCAAGGTATCAACCTATATTTCACTCTACTTGCCCACTCCTCCCACTCCTTCCCAAACTCCTTCATCATCTCATCTTCCTGTCTAGCCCTCGAGAGCAAAACCGCAAGACAAATGCCTAGGAAAGAAAACCAGAAGATCACTGTACTTCTCACCAGCACACTCTCCATTATCCCACACTTTCTCAGCCACGACCCCGAATGACCGTGCATAATAGCTGCACCACATATGCATACCATAGAGGCTGCGTAACTTGGGTGGCGCACAATAGATTAAAGCCCTGTGGTGACTAGACGGTGGTCCTTGCGCACACTGAGTTGAAAGGTGAAGAATCGACCTAAAGTGCGGTAACATTGCCAGCGCAAGAATCCGCCGAATGAAACCAGAGTATTTCCAACCAGAAATGCAACGGTGATTGGGCGCGTGTCTGGTCCCCCGAGCGCTTTCAGAAGAGTAAAAGCGCTAGGTGGAAGCTTCGATGGCGGAATTTGGGGCAAGATAATTGTCCCCACCTCCCCTAACGCACCTAGCCAGAAACAACCCTGGAATATATGTGTATGTCAGTGTGGTCTCTTGAGTATAACACGGGAACACACCTTGATTGCAGACGTAAGTATAGCAGTGCCTCGCAGGAAAATCTCCCTTGGGGTTAATTGTATTACCTCGTCGGAAGAGGGGGCGCCAGGTGCAGTGCAAGCGACATGCAGACCAACAGCCGAGGACAATAGATAGGGAACCTTAATAAGAGACATGGCTTGATTAGAGTTGTTCTTCAATCTCCTTTCATATTCTTCCAAGGTCCGACTCAGAGACGACAGGTATTACAAGATTGTAATTGACAGGGTCCCTACATAGAGATAACCAATGTAAGGAAGCATATTAAAATAGGTAACAAAAATAGATTATGGGGCTCAATACTAGTACTGGCATGCATGCGCAACCTGATACAGAATGAGAATGTGATGAGCGCTGAGTATCTATTGGAGTGCACAAAATAATCTGATGAACAAACGTACCATTCAAGTCAGTCACCCCTGAACTTCATCCCCATTCATCATGACGACTATGGCAATACAGTGACAAAACCGGATAAACCCGGTCTCTGCCGAAGTAGCCATTGTTCTCCATGGAGCATAGCCACCACTCCATGGAGTCACCATTGTTCTCCTAGGAGTCATTATACTATAGCGAGTAGCACCTCCGGCTATAAGTAGTAGGGGGTTTAGTATAGAAATACCTCAGTCGTTTCTATAGCCTCTTGGGCAGCGGCTGAGTTTCACATAGTTTTATTAGCCAGTACTGACAATATTATCTGAAAAATGGATGTCAGCTACACTTGAATATGCTTGTAGAATCACATAAGCATACTGTTTTCAACCTGGTTATCAACTTGTGCATCTTTTGACGAAGATTTTGACAGAAATTCAGTATTCATACTAATGCACAGCTCTAGATGTGTCTTGAATGCAGATGCATGATTTGGTGTGTTCAGAAGTTTCATATCATCATATCAGCCTGCAGATGGCTATAAATTGTCCTTTTACTCCTGTCCTTTGAAGGAAAACATTTGGTACAGTAGCAAGGCATTATTGTGAGGTGGGAAGAGTGGACGAAACACAATTGCAACCCAACACTGTGGTGCATCAGATAAGAAAGCGCCCAAAGAGGAAACCGACTAATAGATATCTGTTGCGTGAACACAGGCTGCTCGTTGCTTGCCACATCGACAACAATTCTACGTACAACGGACCCTCTGCAGCCTTACAACAACCCACTGTCATCAAGTCTGTATTATAGTAAACTTTCCTCATTCAAATTCCACTCACTTAGTACAACTAATGACATTATTTTTCTCCGAGCTCCTCCTCTCGGCGCTATGTCTGCCCCACAGCCCACGACCTCAGCCCCATTGATTGCAGTCAACCCACTCTTGATCCAACCGCTCAGCTTTGAGGACCTTCTGAAAAATCGTCACTTCAGCGGCACAGTTCGAAAGTATCAAATTGCGGCCAATCAGTTCCTTGAGAGTCAAGCTTACCAGAACAAACTCGTTGGGCAGATCGAGGGGCTACTTGCTAAAGAACACATCCACATCCACCAGCAACATGAGTCAGAGGAAAAAATCCGAAAGTATGAAGACGAAGTACAAGAATTGACTAAGCAAAACATTAATTTACGACAAGAAAACCACCACCTACTGCAAGAAGTTTCATGCCTGCAAACCACTGTCGAAGATGAGAACTGCTGTTAGAAAACCACACACAAAAACAAACTAACACACAATCCTCCCAGATTCCACGGAACTTGTTTATGGGCTTTGCCTCCTAGAACAGTGGAGTGGTCTGGTTGTTCGTGGGGTGGTACATATAAAGATCCTTCAAAGTAAAACCCAGAGGTGTATGAGTGTGGGTTTTGAGGAGGAGGGATAGTTGAATTTATAGAAGATAGGTGCTTAGTGACGAGTATAGATGAGCACTACCTTGCTAATTGTAGCACAAGATAGGTTTGAGAACGACGAGGATGACGAGGTGACGAGGTTCCCAGTGATAGCAGGCTCCTGACGCACAAACTGTAGTGCTCAGAAGGACTCTAATCGAAAGGGATAACAATGACTTCAAAAGTGGGAAGTGACGATGACAGCAATTAACAGTGGTAGCAGTGGGAAGTGTTGTGACCACACTGGATCACAAGTAGCAGAGAGTAGTGAACTTGAGATTAGAGAAGAAGTCTGGATTTGAGTTCTTGTTTTTTTTACAAGGTAAAATACAGGGGTTTATATATTAAAAAAAAAGTAGGCTATGCACAGTATAGCTGTGCAAAAAGAATGAGAAAGAACATGAAGGAAGGAATGTATGCTGACAAATCCTGCATAGGTAGTACAGGATAAGATTGTCAAAAAAGGAGAAGAAAGGGATAGAACAATAAATGCTGTGAGTGATGTCACAGGTTTGTACAGCCATAAAGTAAAGTCCAATAGCAAAAAGAGAGCAGGAAAATCATGATGTCATGGGAAGATGCAGTAAAAAAAAGGCAAGGCAAAACACTATCAGTATCAACACAGTTCCTTTATTGTCAGTCAGGCATTCTAAAAAATATGTGTCCATAAAAATGATTCAAAAATCAAAAATAATTGCACTGTAAATGAATGTTCTGTTGAAAAAAAGAAACTGGAGCCACCGGTCCACCACCTAGTCCAAATCCGACAGTTCCATGGCCTTACCAATGGACTGGTTGTGTTGGACCACCTGATCAAACGAGGGAGGGAGAGGAGTAGTTCCAATTTGGAACAAGTGAGTCCCAGGCAGCGTGTGGTAGGTGTAGCTGTAGCGAAGACGATGGACAAAAGGTAAGTGTACCCAAGTGAATAAAAGACAGCAATGAACATGGGCAACGCAAGGGGATGAACCTTCTCCAGCTCAAAAACTACCCACCCACGCTCCAACCAGGCAAGACAAGCGACCGATGTTTTGATAGTATATGATGGCAGATCGACATCATGAAGATGGACCTGTTGCCCTATTTGGACCAGCTGCTGTCGATGATGAGAACTGCAGTTAGAAAACCACACACAAAACAAACTAACACACAATCCTCCCAGATTCCACGGAACTTGTTTATGGGCTTTGCCTCCTAGAACAGTGGAGTGGTCTGGTTGTTCGTGGGGTGGTACGTATAAAGATCCTTCAAAGTAAAACCCAGAGGTGTATGAGTGTGGGTTTTGAGGAGGAGGGATAGTTGATTTTATAGAAGGATAGGGGCTTTGTGACGAGTATAGACAAGCACTACCTTGCTAATCGTAGCACAAGGTAGGTTTGAGAACGACGAGGATGATGAGGTGACGAGGTTCCCAGTGATAGCAGGCTCCTGACGCACAAACTGTAGTGCTCAGAAGGACTCTAATCGAAAGGGATGACAATCACTTTCGAAAGTGATGAGTGACGATGACAGCAGTTAACAGTGGTAGAAGTGGGAAGTGTTGTGACCACACTGGATCACAAGTAGCAGAGTAGTGAACTTGAGAGTAGAGAAGAAGTCTGGATTGGATTTTTTTTGTTCTTTTTTTTACAAGGTAAAATACAGGGGTTTATATAGTAAAAGAGAAGTAGGCTATGCACAGTATAGCTGTGCAAAAAGAATGAGAAAGAATATGAAGGAATGAATGTACGCTGACGAAGCCTGCGTAGGTAGTACAGGATAAGATTGTCAAAAAAAGAAAAGAAAGGGATAGAACAATAAATGCTGTGAGTGATGTCACAGGTTTGTACAGCCATAAAGTAAAGTCCAATAGCAAAAAGAGAGCAGGAAGATCATGATGTCATGGGAAGATGCAGTAAAAAAGGGCAAGGCAAAACACTATCAGTATCAACACAGTTCCTTTATTGTCAGTCAGGCATTCTAAAAAAATATGTGTCCATAAAAATGATTCAAAAATCAAAAATAATTGCACTGTAAATGAATGTTCTGCTGAAAAAAAAGAAACTGGAGCCACCGGTCCACCACCTAGTCCAAATCTGACAGTTCCATGGCCTTACCAATGGACTGGTTGTGTTGGACCACCTGATCAAACGAGGGAGGGAGAGGAGTAGTTCCAATTTGGAACAAGTGAGTCCCAGGCAGCGTGTGGTAGGTGTAGCTGTAGCGAAGACGATGGACAAATGATAAGTGTACCCAAGTGAATGGGACAGCGATGAACATGGGCGACGCAAGGGGATGAACCTTCTCCAGCTCAAAAATTACCCACCCACGCTCCAACCAGGCAAGACGAGCGACCGATGTTTTGATAGTATATGATGGCAGATCGACGTCATGAAGATGGACCTGTTGCCCTATTTGGACCGGCCGCCGGGGCTTTGCTGATATCAGCAGTGGCACGTGGTAGTCAACGGATCGGCGACGGAAGCGGATAGGAAGTGGTGACATCAGAAATGGTGGGGGAGCAAAGAAGATGAGGAGGAGGAGGGTGGAGGTGACGAGGAGGTGAACTAAAATGGGGACCCAGAAACGACCGTCAGGTGAGAATAAAAAGGAGAGGAAGGGGCCCATGGTGGGCCTAGGCAAAGGAAGGGGAGTAAGGGAAACGACAAAAGCGAGGGCGCAATGCAATGTGTAGCCAGTGGCGACGCAAAAATTTGCCGAAATGCCGAAATGCGGAAAGTACCGGATGGAAAAGCAAAGGTGAGCGTGACTGGATTGCCTAATAGAGGTGATGCTGATCAGCCACAAGTTCAAAAAGGGCAATATTAATTACTATTCCATGTGGCACTGTGCCTGTGTGGCGCAAAGGCGAGTCTTTTTGAATATTTGCTTCGTTATTGACACCTGTCCATGCTACCAATCAACTTTGGTGCATGACACCGCCCTGGATCATCAAACAAATTCTGTGTAAGTGACCTATACAACCTGAATTCTCTACTGACAGTCTTTTTTATATATTCTAGTGCAGGAATATCTACCATCTATCCCAGTGACTCTGTGTCGCATGCTGCCAACCCACCCCCAGCACGTTCAGTAGTATCTACAACTGAAGCCCAGCCCCCCCAGCCCCGCTCTGATCAATACCCATTTGAGATTCTATGGGAATTTGATGACTGCAAAAAGGACGAGGACGCTGGACTAACAGCTCAGAACCCCGCTTGACCTGCAATGAAATGTGCTGTCTGGCATGCTGATGGCACCATGATCTCCAGCAAGGAATGGACCGCCATCAAAGCTACCGCCCGCGTCACTCAAAACAAGCTCGAGCAGTTGCCCCTGCCAAAGTGTCGATCCCAGAAACGGTCGCGGAATTACTATTGATCTGCGTACCTGGCTCAGTGGGCAGCTATCATCCAAGAGGTGGAGCAGCAGCAGCCGCTGCTAGCTCTATGTTCAAACCATTGGAAGGCTGAACATGTCCTTGGCCAAATGTTGAGGTCTAGTAAGCTGGTTGATGAGGTGGCTATTAGCAACAACGATGAAGACACAACTCTCACTACTATCTCGTCAGGAACAGGAACAGGAATGGGAATGGGAACAGGAACGGGAACGGGAACAGAAGCTCAAAAACAACGTCGAGCAAGGTCAAGTGTCTCGGAAACGGCGAAGAAACAACGGCCAGTGAGCAGCGCAGCTCCAGAGGCCATGTCAGAGGTACAGATGAGGATGGACAACTCATCCTCAGACACATTGATGCCTCCACCCACTACCGGCCAGTCCTTTTTTTCTTCTTCTCTTACTACTACTGTACTGACATCAGATTTTCAGTACCTATTCAAAAATCACTTCCTCCCCCATCATTTCTGTCTGTCTCCTCAGATAAAGGGTCCAAAAAATACAACGTCGACTTTATAGAGGTCAGCTCCTCTATCCTTGACTTGAAAAGTATGTTCTTTTCATTATTTTTCACTTATTCATACACTAACAAAATCTAGCTATCATAACTCGCAACTTCGACTCCAACTCCTTTGGTATCAACCTTCTCAACGCTATGGAACTCTCTACAGACTTCTCCCCCGGCCCCCCTTCCTCTCTTATGCTCAAATTTATTGAGCGCATTGAGCGTGCTGACCCCAATTCCCCCGAATTTGATGAGGACGACCATGGTGTTTCATGGGGCCATCATCAGTTTACGTCGGGTTCGATGACGTCTTCCTCTGTACTAACATCTTGGACTGCAATAGGTAATTGCAAGATGGCAAGACGTCTAATTGCTGCAACAATCAAGGCCTGTAAAGTTGCGAGGCATATATGTTTCCAGGAAAAGATTTTGCCCTTGACCTTTCCTTGACCTTCCTTGCCGACAACTATCTCAACAATATACTCGAACAAATCTGGGCTGCCTGGAAGGCAGCTGGAGGAGTAAGTTCTTTCCCTCATTTCATAATATTTAAACTGATGCTATCTTTACAGCCGGTATCTAAGGGAAAGGTTTCTTCAACGGTCTCTATGACATCAGCCTCTGTGTCTTTCATTTTGGCAGCTACAGAACCCCCCTCTTTTGTCTCGTCAGCATCGGCTCTCACTTTCCTTGCCTCAGTGGCCACCTCTGTCTCGTCAATGGAACAATCCACAGTGGGTGTGTCAGATTTGGCCAGGTAAGATGATTGTTGTGCAGGGTTACAAGTCATCACCAAGGTCCATTGATATATCTATTAACTCACGTTCAGTTTACAGGTCTTGCAGAAAGAGGAGCTGATGGAATAGATCAAGGCTAGTGGGAATGTCATCACTAACCTGAAACAGCGAACAAAAAAAGGTGATTGTTGATTTTACCACTTTGATATCATCTAACATGGTTTCACAGATCTGGTCACTGTTATCCTGGCCTTACCCATCAAGAAACAGCCCTCTAAGGTGGAAGTCGAGTCTATTATGTCCAAGGCAAGTTGCCCGCTATATCTCTTACTAAACTACTAATTTACATTACTATTACAGTGGAAGGCAAAGAATGTAACATCCAAATCCAAGAAGTAATCAGTTGTTCTCTTGTCATTGTCATCATGTTCTTTAGGAAATTTTTTTGTTGTCATCATTGTGTATATGCTTTTCTTTTGGACTGATCAGGAGCTCTTGTTGTCATTATGTTGTGATTTTTGTATGCTTTTGTATGTTCTTGTATGCTCTGTGCTACTGGGACTCAGCAATGTAACTACGTTGGACTTAATATTGGACTTCAATTGACTGTTACTGGACTTTGAATGACTGTTATTGTGTCAATCGGACTACATTGGATTGCAGATGAACTGGACCTTGCTGGACTCTCACTGGACTATGTTCCCCGAGAAATAAGACTTCATTGGACTCGTTACAGGACTATTTGTACGGATTCGCATATCGGACTGTTGCTGGACTATTATTGACTACACGTGACTACACTTTTTACTGAGGGTGACTCGGTAGATGCCGACGCTGGTTTTCAGTTACCACCACCTCGTTATATTCCAGACGTCGGTGCATAAGTAAATCATGCCCCCATGTTCACTGTCAGTTTGACTCGGAGAGCTTCTACCACGCTTGCGCATTAAGGTTCTCTTCTGGCCATACAGGCTGCTGATGCTATCTTAATGGCAAGCAATAAAGTCAATCTTGTGTCTGCGCGTTTCGTACACAGCGATCATTGCATTGGGCTGCGACAGCAAAGGCTTCGGCTGTAGCACAGAAGATACCAACAAAACAGCTCGCTGCCCTTAGGAATTACTCTCGTATGGGGTTCGGCAGTCTGCACTCCCTTTGCTCCTCCCTCTTTATAGTCTACTGAAAAGCCGCCCGTACACGAACGTTATATTTCCATCTCGTTACATGTCGCCAACAAATCCTCTTCATGTTCACCAGTTCGTCTGTTACCCTACCCATCTAATGCTGGAGGGTTTCCTTACGTTCACACAGTCATGCTTGACCAGACGTGTCAACCAGAGGAGAAGATGTAGATGAGGGCCGGCGCTACGATGAGGCTGAACGATTGCGTAACGCTTATTTAGGCATCGAGGAATGTATCGCGCATAATTCATCTCAATATCTCGAACTTGACGCAAATACTCACAGAGAAACCTACTATCCATTACGAACTTAATACCTTTTTAAAGTGAGTGCGTACTTGATTTCGTCGCAGGTTGATATCTAAACTGCTTAGGATTGGGCGTGATTACCCTTGCGCAGGTATCAACTTTACTGCTTTTCCTTGGGTCATGGATCAGTGTATGGTAATCTTTCACTCTACTTGAATCAGGTCTCAGATTTATTACGCTATCCCGCTCGCTACAAAACTCCTAGATTCACTGAATGCCGTATTGGATAATCAGACGCATTATCTCTCGCTTTTTTAAGGATATCATTTAACGGAGAAACGGTGCAGCTGCCTGCTGAACAGGTGGGGGATATAATGAAGAGGACTGGGAGCCTAGCCTGGAGCTTGCTCCAGAGTAAAACATATGCACCGCATATACGAACTTTGCATACTGTCGTCTTCGATATATTTGGTACTCTCATCGTGAGCACTTTTTGGTTAGTCTCATTGCATATCAACACGTTATTACCAGGATCGTAATCCTGGTCTTTTGAAAGATCTTCAAGCACTAACACACAACTATCCACTGTATGACGCTGAAGAACTGCCCCAAGTTTGTCTTACATGCCTTGCAGAGAACTCTTCAAGGATTTTAGACTCACCAATCTCAGTTCTATTACCTTCCTCACTTATTTGGCTATTTTTCACGTACTGGAGTGGATCTCAATGATTTTGACATCGACAAGCTGTCGGACATACGGTCTTGGCTTGTGTGGTCGGATATTAGAGAGGCACTCTCTGTCCTACATAAACGTGGAGTTAATACCATGATCATGATCATACCGCCAGGTGATGATCACACGCTGCAAACTTGCGCAAAGTTCTCGGGGAGCAACGCGTACTTTGGCTCTTATCATCTATCTCCCACTCCCACGAGGAATATGCTATCAAGATGTACGCCTGAATTATTTTTACAACACCTGCCTCAAAGCTTGCATATCGCTCCTCGCAGATTGCTGTGGTGAGTGACGCATTGTGTGGTGATCTGGAACCTGCTACATTAGCAGGTATGTGCACTGCGTGGCTTCGCCGTGATGACTTGGGAAGATCCGATGCGTTGGGCTGCTGTCAATACAGTCAAGCTCAAGGCCTCTTAGTTGCTACCGCACTCTCAAAGGGCATGTTGCCTTAACGCCATCACTGTCTTGAATGATAGCCCACTTGAATTGTACTGGTATATCCACTGATTACTCCCCGTAATGCTATGTTTCTGTTGCCAAAATCAAGCGTGGAAGGTGTTATCCACAATAAAGCTTAGCCAGGTAACGTACTCGCTACTGCGTTATGAGGCTTTCGATCATCGATCGCTGACATCTACAAAACAACGCATGTTCGAGCTCATGCAATCGGATATAAAGCATACTTATGTTCAAAAATAAAAATACAATGTCGAAGAAATACCACTCTTGCAACCCAGAGTCTGTGTATGTGAATGGACGACCAGCACATAAAACAAAAGAAGAAAACAAGTGTATCAGATTAACCTGAATAAGGAACACTTTCATGGCTCAATAAATCCCAGGTATCAGCCAATACCTTACTCTCCCTGCCCACTCCTCCCACTCCTTCCCAAACTCCTTTTTCATCATCTCGTCTTCCTTCGGACATCTCATGAACAGCGTGATCGCAGTGATGCTCATCATAGTCGCCCAAGATATCGCCGTACCTCTCACCAGCAAGTTGTTAGCAACGCCCGAGCTTCTCAGCCAAGATGTCGGGGAACCGTGCAATGTGAATGCGCCGAGCACGCACAGTGCGGTGGCCGTATAGCTTGGGTGGCGTACAACAGAGTAGGGCCCGTGGGTGACGAGTCGATGGTCTTTGCGTACGCTGAGGACAAAGGTGAAGAATCGACCCAAAGCACGGTAACACGCCCATCGGAGGAGGCCAGCAGCCGTGGAAATGGTGGTCCCCGCGAGGAATGCAGGAGTAATTAGTCGATTGTCAGGGCCACCTAATGCTTTCAAAAGCGTCAGAGCACCTGTTGGTAGCTTCGAAGGAGGGATAAGGGGTATGAGAATAGCAGCGCTCTCTCCTATCGTGCCTAGCCAGAAGGCTACCTGATAGAAGAAAATTGGTTTTCAGTAGGGTAGTTAGTAGGAGATTGGTGGATGATGCCAGGCTCACCTTCAGTGCCCCGCAAAGCGCAGTAGCGGTGTTGAGGAACAACTCTCGCGAACCAGGCTTTACCTTTTCATCCGAAGCCGGGGCATTAGGTGGAGTCAATGCGATGTGCACACCGACGGCTGAGGACAGGAGAAGGGGTATTTTGACGAGGGACATCGTCAATAGGTAAGTGCCTAACTTAGTAGTAGTTGCTGAGGCCTGATAATTTTATGTTCTGTTCTTCTTCTATTTATCAGTCCAGGGCTCGGGTAGAAGGAAGCATTTCGCCATAGCCCTGAGCTGTAAAGAGTAAATGCTATTTACCACATCCGATGTCGCCATGTTAAGATCTAGAATAGCGTGTCAAAAAAACTAAAGCAAAAATGAAGCAACGCCTGCAGTTCAGGTAGGTTGACCGGTTCCACGATGCATCGGATAAACAGTAAGCGGATGTCTTGTCATTTCTGTCATGTGCTTCCGTACACTGACAGGTCTTCCCATCTATTAGTAGAATACGGTACTTTATGGTGCTACTTGGCGGCCCATGAGCTATCAGCGTTATTGAATTGCTATCAGATAGTCATTTTCAAGGTAAGAATGTTGACAAAACAACTGTTAGCCCAAGAATATTAACTTCTTAACAAGGAACGCTTCCACAACTCAGTAAATCCCAGGTATCAGCCGATACCTTACTCTCCCTGCCCACTCCTCCCACTCCTTCCCAAACTCCCTCTTCATCATCTCGTCTTCCTTCGGACATCTCATAAACAGCATAATGGCACACATGCCCGTCACAGCTGTCCAAGACAGTGCCGCACCTCTCACAAACATGTTATCAGCAACGCCTGAGCTTCTCAGCCATGATCCCGGAGCACCGTGCATCGTAAAAGCGCCAAGTACACACAGTGCGGTGGCCGTATAGCTCGGGTGGCGTACAATAGAATAAGGCCCATCGGTGACGAGCCGGTGGTCTTTGCGTACGCTGAGGTGAAAAGTGAAGAGTCGACCCAAGGCACGGTAACACGCCCATCGGAGGAGACCAGCGGCTGAAGAAAGCGTAGTCCCTGCAAGAAATGCAGGAGTGATTGGTCGACTTTCGGGGCCACCCAACGCTTTCAAAAGTGCGAGAGCGGCTGTTGGTAGCTTCGAGGGAGGAATAAGGGGTATGAGTGTCGCGGCGCTCTGCCCTAGCACACCTAGCCAGAAGGCTACCTAGTAAAACAAATTTGGGATTCATGAGGCCAATGCTTACTTGGCCAGTGGATATTATACTCACTTTCACTGTTCCGCAAAGTGCAATAACGGTGTTGAGGAATATCTCACGCGAGTTGGCCTTAATTTTTTCATTGGGAGTAGGGTCATTTGGTGGGGTAAATGCGACGTGCACACCGACAGCTGAGGACAGCAGAAGTGGTATCTTGACGAGGGACATCGTAAACAGGTAAGCACCTAACAGTAGCTGCTGAAGTCTGTGAAGTTCATGAGATGTTATTCTATTTATCAGGGCCCAATACTCGTAGAAGGAACATTTTTAGCAATCCCTTAGCTGAAAAGACTCTGTTAAACGTTGAAAGCCCCATACCATATAACTTCGTGTCCAAAAAAGAAACTCAAAGCGGGAAGGATGGAGGACGCAACAGCCCTTTCAGATAACCACATTCAGTCACGCTTGTCCAAATATCATTTCACCTTCCATTGTAATAGACAGATGGTCTTTCGTATTTTGATGGAATCGGTCAGGAGTTATCAGCAGGTCGCAAGGCACGGGCATTTCACGGTAAGGACGTTGTCGAAACAGATTTTAGGTATCAAATGGAAGGGCTCTCACCTCTCACAAGAATTGACCACACTCCATGAGACTCGGATCATCGCCTAAGCAGCATGTAATGCGTGTTTTCGTTCATGTTATGTACATTCCAGCTAAAAATGCGAATGCTTCAATACTACAAGGATCAAAATCTATAATGCCTATTCCATGTGCTTGAGAACCTAATTAATGAAAGGTGAGATAAAACAAGACAAAACAAATAGTTAGAGAAGGCATAGGATACATAGGAAAGCGGGGTAGATCAAAAATTTCGCAGGACAGAAAGAAAACAGCGAAAATGGGCATAAGACAAATGCAATGACATAGTGATAGGTTCACCACCCAATATCCACATCGAAAGTCTATAATGAGACTCATCCACAAATCCGACCATCGGAAAGTTTCCCTTACACGTTCCTCCCCGCTGCCCTTCCTAAAGTACTCGCCCCAGATCCAAATCCAAACGTACCAGCCTTGGTCAACTTCGACCTTACGCCCCCAGGCGCAGGCGCAGGAAGCCTAGACATTGATCCGGACACAGGACGAGGAAGCGATGATCCAAATTTACTGCCAACCGTGCCCGAAGCATATTTAGACGGTGGGCGTATTCCACTAGCTACCGAGGATGTGCTTGTGCTAGAAATCGAGCTCGGTAGTCTGCTCTGGACTGGCCTACTTATCTCTGAGCTCGTGGCTGAAGCAGCACTTGGGTTAGAGCCAATATTGATGTGACTAGATGCGGGTTTCTGTAGCCTCGATTTGATGCTGCTGAGGATCGCAGGAGCACTCTTTTCCTTCCCTTTGCCATCCTCCTTCTCCCTCAGGCCCATCGGCGCAGGACCCGTGAGTCTGCTCTTGACGCTCATCTTCGCTTCTTCACTCCCAGAAAAAGGAAGTCCGCTTCTCTCGGCACTGAACCCGAGCCGATAGGCAGCTGGAATAGATTTACTTGGCATTGCCACACCAGGTGGTGGTCTCTGTACTCCATTTAATACTGGTTTGTTCCTGATTGTGGGCTGCACTTGTGCTTGCGGTTGGAACTGCACTTCTTTTTGCGGCTGTGAAGCGACAGCCAAAGGCGGTGCCGTTAACAATAGCTGATCATTCACACTCGTATTATCTGTGCCATTTCCATCCACGCCTTCATTGGATCCTGCGCTGCCATTGGTCCCTGTGCTCGAAGTAGAACCGTCCCGGGCGTGCTTTATATTCCGTTTTACGATACGCAATGCGTGTATGGGCTTGGCAGCCGGGTATATCTGCTTTGGTGGTGTCTTGAATTGGGGTTGCGTCTCTGTCTGCTTTTCTGTGCTGATTTGAGAAAAATCACTTTCGTGGGAGTCGGCGGTGGATGGCAAGGGGCAAAACGTCTCGTTATCCACATTTGTACCTGGGAGGGCTATCTGTGATGGGTCTATTTGCACGATAAATTAGCAGTTGAAAGATATCGAGAAAAAAGAGATATACCTAAGGACTTGGGGACTGCACGATCCAGTGCAAAAGTCAGAGAATGAGATATAGGGGAACTAGAAGGAAGACTGAAGCGTTTTTTGACGCTTTGTGATGCTCGTGGAGCTAGAAAAAGGCCTATTAGTGATAGTAAAGGAGAAACGAAAATTTATTGACATACTGCTCTTAAGAGAAGCATTAGCCGCGACCTGGGTGGGAGTGGCTATCGGAGTCGATCCAATGATCCTTGACGCCATGACACTTGTACTACTGATGGCCCCACTCGCTTCTGTGCTCTTGTTATTCTTTATTAAACACTTCTGCGCGTTTTGGTTTTGGTTCTCCTCGTTCTCTTTCTTCGCCAACGCTTCCATCATTTCCTCCTCTGCCTCCATGTTGAATTCATCCATATCATCTAAACCCTTCAAAAATGACTCCTGTCCGCCTAAAAACGATATCCTATCGTTCAACAAATCAAATGATGCTTCAGGACATTGGAGTTGCCAATTGAAGGAGGTATGTAGATCGACCGAAGTGCGGCGTGGGTCAAGGGAAGATGTAGTAGTATTGGAGCGCGGACGAAGACGGGCACGGGGGGAAGGAGAAGAGACATCGTTCAAAGGGAAGACTGCGTGTCCGGCGGAGGGGGTTATACGCGTGGCTGGAGATAATGGCAGCTGTGGAGGAGGCGAAGGTGGTGAAATGGTGAGGACAGTATTGGTGAGGAGTGCCCTGGTAGGAGAGGGGATGAGAAGTGCAGTAGACGATGATAGAGCCGGATCGTTAACTTGTGGTGATAGGGGGCTTTCTTGAGCAAAAGACATAGCTAAACTAGACCCTGATCCTTGTTCAGCGGATGGCGGCTCTAGCAACCGAAGTGGGCTTTGTGAGCACGATGGCCCACTTAAAATGACACCAGCTGGCTTGCATGTATGCAACTCCTGCTTTGCAATATTGAAAGCATTCACGCTCGATGCACATGACGAATTATGTGAATCAGCCTGTACTCCTCCCTTCGATGGGGTGCTGGGGTGATGGGAAGAGACCGACTCCGAAAACATGACCTTTTGAGCCTTCGAAGGTACCGGAGTGGCGTCCAAGGATATATCAGCGAGAGGTGTACGCTGAATATGACTTGGTGGCGTTCGAGCAACATGATGAGGAAGAGGCGTTGCATCTGAATTATCGATTTTTTTTCTTGAAACTTGCGGTGTAAAATTCTCGTCGTCAGAGTCATCTTCTCCCAGCTCATTTACGGCGGCCATCAGCGACTCTGTGGGACCTTTGCTGTTGGAGCTGAGACTAAGCTCGCGCAAAAGTAATTCGGCGTCCTCCACTGTCACGGTCATGTCACCAATGTCTACAAGCCGCCCCTTAGGTACTGCGATAGGTGGCTGAGACTTCTGGACTGCGTAAGTGCGGTTGAAAAAGGCAGACATCGTAAGCTGGTCTGTACTCTGAACATCCGGTACGACATTTTCCTTGTCAGAGTCTGGCGATGGGAGTTCTCTCCGTGGCGTAGAGGGACCGGTTAGTGGGTCAAACAGATTCAGAACGCTGTATCTCGGGTGATTCATGGCAGTATACAGGGCTGGTACCAGTATTGGAGCCAAGATGATGAACGAAAAACTGAAAAAGTGCGATAACAATGCAAGTGAAGTCAAAACAAATCCAAGTTCAAGTTCGAATAAAACACAGCCATGTCACAGCTGTTACTGTGATGTAACGTGTTCTGTGACACGTTCGTGGTTTGCTTGCACGTGTATATCACGTGAATCTTCGTGGCGCGCTGAATACTCAGTCGGAGACTTTTAAGTTCATTTTTCTCATACCAGTATCATGATAAACAAGTGAGCTCAAGATGTCTAAAAACACAAAACTATGTGAATGCTCTACCAAATATGTGTTTTTATTTTGCCTCTGGGCTTTTTCATTTTATATGGATTGCATCTCTTGCAGAGAAAGACTTACTACTACTGTTGTAGTTTCCTTGTTGCTGGCATTATTAGTCTATCACGCCAGCTCTTAGTATCCACTGGGGTGAAGTCCAGGAATGATTCAAACCTTGGAAGGCTTATTTCTCACTGAGAGGGTCGTCCAACAAGAGTGTGTTTACTGAAAAAAGTCTATGATGTATCGAAGCGGACGAGCTACACCTCAGATTCACAATCAGACTCTGACACAAACTAGCATCGTAATAGAGATGTCCACATTCTCTTTCCTGTATACATACATGCCATTTATGTAGGTAGGTATGCCTCTGTCACAAGACTTATTGGTTGGGAGTAGCAAGGGCAAAGGTATCGCCTGATTGCATTGTTTCGATCAGATTTTTTATATTCGCTGGTCATCAGATTTCGATTCCCTTGCTAAACTTATTTTACTTCACACATTTTGATCTTTTGTGGGGGGCCACTCTACATCAGCTTTGTCCTTGCTTTTCTCATAAAGGAATCATGGAGGTCAACTCAGAATATGCAACAGCAATAAATCATGTCCTTCCTCAAGCTCTCGTTCTTCTTGTGACGAATCAATTTTTCTCATCACATTCCTATCATGTCGTGGTTATCCAATTCATTCCCTGTCACTCCTCTCACTCTTGGACTAGAGATTACAGCTGGCATTCTATTATTCTTATCCTTTTTCTTCTTATTTTCCCTTCATATTCATGTCCTATCATACTTACAACAAAGGAGAATAATTGCAGACCCTCGAGGAGATATCCAGATGACATAGTGATGATCCAATGCTATGTCTGGGAATACTTTGGAGGAATATTGATAAGCAAGGTAGGCTATGAATCAGCGCCTTCTCATGGGCTTACTGATACAGCCAATTGTACACCTCTTACCAATACTTTCTCTCACACAATTAGTAAATATGATAGATCAGACCTCTTTCTCTTTCTTTTCTTATTGGTTAGTTGGTTAGTCAGACCACTTTCTTAACTCTTCCCTTTTTTGGTCTGACCATCATTATTCACTATATAAGGAAATACATACTCGATGTATCATTCCTTAGTTCAATATTAGTTTAGATTTGCGCCCATATTGATACTCTTCAAGCCTCAAACTCTGATTCACCGCCATTTATCATGGACTTGACCAGACATTGAGTCTTGTTATATAGCTTCGTATTTGTTGCCTGACACTTCTATCATCTGCCATAACTATGCATATTGTCATTACTCCCCCAAATGCACCACCTACTGCTCAGGAGGTTTTGAAACCCTCGGCTCGTGAAATTTATATGAGATTCATTATCAGGACTCTTGGCCCACTCAAGGTTTTTGCAATTATCATTTTTGATATGACTGATCTTTTCAACTTGTGTATTCTCTAGATTTCATTCTGGCTAGGTACTTTAGGACAGGCTGCCACCATCCTAATACCGTTAATTCCTCCTGTGAAGCTTCCATCAGGTGCTCTTACTCTTCTAGATGCACTAAGTGGCTCAGATTATTGTGCCATAGCTATACCATTCCTTGTCGGTTCTTCCCTCACGACGCTTGGTGGCCTCCTTCGCTGGGCTTGCTATTGTGCCCTTGGGAGATTATTTACCTTCCATCTCAGTGTGCGCAAAGACCACCGACTTGTCACCAGCACTGGGTGCATAGCCAAATATATCCATGAGAAAAATCTGGAAAAAAAGCTTGAAAACAAAAATACTTTCTTCAAGGTATTTCTTCTATAACTATTTTTCCCCCTCAAATGGATGGCTCTCACCACCCGTTATCGTAGTGCACGTCTCCGCTTATG